TTTGTGTCCCAGCATATGACCGACCTATCTTAGAAAATTTCCATGAGCACTTAGAGAAAAATTGAATTTGGGAGCAGGGAAGATAGCTCAAGGGGAAGTACATGTGCTTTGTATTTGTCCCCAAATAATGAGAGGAGCACCACACAAACACACACACACACACACACACACACACACACACACACACTCAGTAAATTCTGTTGTTTTGGAGTTTTACAAATATTCCATAGATTTCATAAATGCCTGTTAGGCTGATCTGTTCTAGTTTAAGAATTAAGAAAGACTGTTAGGGTATGGAGCAATAGCATAGCGGGTAGGACGTTTGCCGTGCACGTGACTGACCTGAGTTTGATTCCCAGTATCCCATATGGTCCCCCGAGTACCACCAGGAGTAATTCCTGAGTGTATGAGCCAGGAGTAACCCCTGTGCATCGCTGGGTGTGACCCTATCACTGTCACTGTCACCCCGTTGTTCATCAATTTGCTTGAGCGGGCCCAGTAACATTGTGAGACTTGTTACTGTGTTTGGCATATCAAATATGTCACGGGTATCTTGCCAGGCTTTGCCGTGCGGGCGAGATACTCTCGGTAGCTTGCCAGGCTCTCCGAGAGGGGTGGAGGAATTAAACTTGGGTCGGCCATGTTGGCTGCGTGAAAGGCAAATGCCCTATCCGCTGAGCTATTGCTCCAGCCCAGGGGTGTGACCCAAAAAGGAAAAAAAAAGAAAAAAGAATTAAGACTGTTGTTTCCTTATCAATTCTAAGTTTACTCCATCTGTCCACAGTTGTGTGTGGGCCCTCATGGGCCAGGGAGATAGTTCCTAGGGCTAGAGCATATAACCTGCATGCCGGAGCCCTGGATTTAATCACTGGCATGGCATAGTCCTCCAAGCACTACCCAGAACATCTTCCAAATTATTGTTGGATACGGTCCAAAATAAACCCAAAATTCCGTTACTATGGTACTGGGAGATAGCTTGAAGGACTGGAGTGCATACCTGTTGCACAAGGTCCTGAGAAGGGTCTGGACAGTGGAAGGCCCCTGAGTACTGCAGGGTGGACCCTGAACATCACTGGTGAGGCACCCTCCAAAACAAAACTATCAATTCACTCTTTCTTTTTTTTGGGGGGGGTAGATGGTGGGAGTCTTGGGCTACAACCAGCAATGATCAGCCATTACTCCTGGTTCTGCACACAAGAGTTACTCCTACCAGAACTTGGAGGACCTTATGGGATGCCAGGGATCAAACCTATGTCGGCCATAGAAACTCCCTTTTAGCTGTACTCAGTCTCCAGCCCCTACCAATTTACTCTATTAATGACTGCCAAATCCATTTTGGCATTTCTTTTATATATATATATCTGCCCCTCTCGGAGAGTCTGGCAAGCTACCGAGAGTATCTCGCCCGCACGGCAAAGCCTGGCAAACTCCCTGTGACGTATTCAATATGCCAAACACAGTAACAAGTCTCACGATGGAGATGTTACTGGGCCCGCTCGAGCAAATCGATGACTAACAGGAGGACCGTGAGATATATATATATATATATATATATATATATATATATAATCACTTGATCCCCCGCTATTCATCGATTTACTCGAACGGGTGCCAGTAACGTTTCCATTCATCCCTGTTGCGTGCTAGCGTGGCCCAATGGCATCTGTTCGTTCTAGGAACATGCAGAGCCACAAACCAATCATTCAGGGTATTGACGAAGAAGTCTGACCATCTTATAGGTGGGCGTTCACGCGATCTTTTGACATCCCGTGGAATCCAGTCAGTAATGGCTCTAGTCCAGCGGTTGTCTGTAAACCTCATTACGTGTCCAGCCCATCTGATTTTTGATGCCTTGGCAAATGAGACAGTGTCCCTGATTCTTGAGCGTTGACGGAGATCAGAACTCCGGATTCTATCTCTCATTTGAGTGAAGCATGATACTCCAAGCATAGCTCTTTTGATTCCTCTTTGAGAGACCCGAATAGCGTTCTCATCCTGTTTTCATAGGACCCAGTTCTCTGAGGCATATGTTAATGCAGGAAGAACAGTGGAATCGAAGAGATGTGCTCGTAGCTGGAGGTTCTTTGTCCTCTTAGTTATTTCTTCAACACTCTTAAAGGCATTCCAAGCCGCTCTCTTCCTCCTGCGCAACTCAGGTGCCAGGTCATTCATCATGTTGATTTCTCGACCTAGGTATATATAACTGTTGCATTTGGAGATGGTGGTTCCGTTGAGAGCAAATGGAGCATCAGGAATGAGGCTGTTTATATATATATATATATATATATATATATATATAAAATATCTTCTTGCTGCATTAAGCCCTTAATCAATGCATAATTTGTTTCTGTTCTTTCTTATGATTTTTTGGGTGGGGTCACACCCAGCAATGCTCAGGGGTTATACCTGGCTCTGCACTCAGGAATTACCCCTGGCGGTGCTCAGGGGACCTTATGAGATGCCAGAGATTGAACTCAGGTCAGCCTCATGCAAGGCTAACACCCTACTCACTGTACTATCATTCTGGCCCACTTATCAACATTTTGAGATGGAAATCTGTTTATCTGACATAAATACAGATGTACCTGACTTTTTGTGTATTTTCTGGGTTTGTTGGTTTGGGGGCCTTCTCCAATGGTACTCCAGGTCTCTTTCCAGCCCCATATAGTGGGGAAATTAAAGCCAAGTCTCCCATGTGCAGAACAAGCACTCAGCCCTTGGAGCATCTCCCCAGCCCTGTCTTTTGGGTGTTGTTATATATGTGTAAGATTTTTTTTCCAACCTTGAATTTTGAGACTGTATTTATCTTGAAAGTTGAGATGTGTTTCCTATTAGGCAACAAAAAGTTGGATTTAGGGATTTGTTTATATTTTTGTTGTTTTGAGCCACACCCACCATTGCTCAGGGATCAATCCAGTCTAGGCTGAGGACCACATAGGGTGCCAGAGATCAAGCCAGGGTCAGCCACATGCATGGTAAGTGCCCTACCTGCTATACTATCACTCCAGCCTCAACATTATTAAGGGTTTTTTTGGGTATTATTTTTTGCAAGTGAGGACATGTTCTCATTAAAGGAGGATTATGGTATCACATTCAGAGATGAATGGGGACAGGCAGGCAGGGAAAAGTACACTTCATTCTTATTTTAAGTTGACCAGTTGAAATGAGTCCCACCAGGTCCTCCAGGCCATCAGAATAGCCCTTGAGTAGGCTGGCACCGGGCAGGTTACTGGATAGTCATCATAGAGGTCCTGGAAGTTGTTGAAGTCTGCACACACTTCTGTCTCAACTGTCAGGTTCATCAAGAGCCTGCTGCTCTCCCAAGTCTTAACCTCTGTACTGTCTCTGGAACCCTGCATTTCTCTCTCTCTCTCTCTGCCTGTGCTCAGTGTTTACTCCTGGCTCTGTGCTTAGGGCTTACTCCTGGCAGTGCCATAGAGACTGAACCCAAGTCTGCTGCAAGCAAAGCAAGTACCTTTCTGGTTGGCATTTTTTCCTTTCATTTGTTTGTTTAGGAGTCACACCCACCTGTGCTCAGATTCCTAACTTTGCACTCAGGAATCACTTATGGTGGGGCTCTGGGAACTGTATGGGATACCAGGGATGGAACCAGGGTCTAGTACTTGCAAAACAAGCACCTTATGTACAGTACTATCTCTCTGACCCCCATTTTTCGTTTTTAAAGAAAAGCTCCGTATTATTTTCTACAGAGGCTATGCCAATTTACATTGTGCAATCGGCTAGCATTCCTTTGCCCCACATCCTCACCAACATTGTTTCCAAACTATTTACTTTTGAGACACACCCTGTTGTATTCAGGGCTTATTCCTGGCTCTGTGCTCAGGGATCACTTCCTCTGAGAACCGTATGTGGTACTGACTGAACCGGGGGTGGAAAGGTTATGGGCAAGGAAAGGGCCCTCTACCCAATGTACTATCTTTCTGCCCCCCTCCTTTTTTTTCCTTTTCGGGTGATACCGAGCGATGCACAAGGGTTACTCCTGGCTCTGCACTCAGGAATTACCCCTGGCGGTGCTCGGGGGACCATATGGGATGCTGGGACTCGGACCCGGGGTTGGCCACGGGCAAGGCAAACGCCCTACCGCTGTGCTATTGCTCCAGCCCCCTGCCCCCCTTTCTGGTCAAATTTTTTATTACAAAATATTATGGGGAAAATGTTTTGTTTTGGGGCCACACCCAGAGATGCTCAGGGGTTATTCCTAGCTCTGCATTCAGAAATTATTCCTGGTGGTGCTGGGGTACCATATGGGATAGCCAGATATCAAGCCCAGGTCCAACGCAAGTGCCCAATCTGCTGTGCTATGGCTCCGGCCTCCAAAGTGGGGGGGGGGGGGCGGATTTCTAAGCATAAATTACTTTTTCAAATTGCAGATCTGGCTCTGCAAAGCCAACTGGCCGAAAATCCAAGAGGGGGTCCCTTGGTACTCTGAACACTACTTGGGAGGCCCCATCTCAATTTTTTTCATTTAAATTTTTTAAAATTCAAGTTATGTAACAATAAAGAGGGGGGTGGGTGGGAGCTAAGCATATTAACATTTGGCGTATTTGTCTCCGGGAGCAGGAAGTAAAGGCAGGAAAGAGCGAACGAACTATGACTTCCCATTACCAGCCTGGGCGCTTAACGCTGCTCCTGGGGCCTTACAAAGGAACGTACGCTGGGGCGTGCTAACAAGGTTCCAGAATAAAAGCTATTAATTACACACACGCTCCCAGTCCTTCCAGTTCCAAAAGAAGCCACGGGGAAAAATATTTAAAGGGCCCCAGGCCCATCAAAGCTCCTCGGGCGACCGAAGCTCCGCCGAGGGCTCTGGCGAGGGAAGGAGCAGCGGGTTTGGCGGGGAGCATCAGGACCGCGTCCAGACGCGCAGACGCCGAGAGCACACGCAGCCCGGGCCGGGCGGAGGCGAGGGCGCGGGGCGTGGCCTCGTGACGTCACGTTCCGCCCCGCCCCTGACGTCGCGCACTCGGGAGGCCCGAGGGGTTCGGGCGGCGTCGGCGCCATTTTGCCGGAGCCCGCGACCCAGTGGGAGTGGAGCGGAGCGGCCGTCGCTGCCGGCTCTTCCCTCCTCCCCGCGGTCCAGTCAGCGGTCGATTAGGCCGTCGGCCCTCACGCCGAGACTGGTCGCTCGTTTAGTTCTGGGGAACGCCTGGCCGACATGAGCGATCTCGAGGAGAACAACTTCGAGGGCAGAGTGAGTACAAAGCCGCGGGAGCCGTCTTCGGCGGCGGCCCGACGCTCGGGGGCGGGGGGTGTTCTCGGGGTCGCGGGGGCCCGCGGGGCGCGCCCCCACCCCTTCCTCGGGAGCCGTCGCGGTGACCGCCTCCCGCCCCAAGATGGCTCCGGGCTTCCACACCTGGCCCGGAGAGCGCGGAGAACCCCCGGCCGCGGCGCTCGGAGCCCGCCGGCCCCCTCGCCCCCGGCCCCGCGCGCCCGCCCGCTCCCCGCTCCGCTCCCCGCCTCCTCCCCCCTCCCCTCCGCGGCTCCCCCCCGCGTGCGGCCGGGCTCGGTGCTTCCTGCGGCGGAGAGCGCGGGGGCTGCCGTCCGGGCGCGACTAGCCGCGCCTGTGTCTCCTTGGCTCTCTGTTGCAGTGAGCGGCCGCGTCTCCGTCGGAACCGGCGGCGTTGCGTCTCTAAAGGCGAAAAAATAAAAGCCTTGAGGTTGAAGGTGGGACGCGCCCCATGAAGTGGTTAGTCAACGACCGCACCGACCCTTAAGCGTCCTTAAGACGGGAGCTGAGAGGGGGAAAAGCACGCCCGGAGGAGCCCGGTCCCCTTAAACGTCCCCCCTCTCCTGCCTGCCTGTCCCCCGTCACCCGTCACCCCCGACCCCCGCCAAGTGAACGTGCCGATGCTCGCACTCCTTATTCCTCTCATCCCCCTGATGTCGGGTGTTGTGTTGTTTCCTTTTTTTTTTAATCACTATTATTTTATTTTTTTCCATTTCTCCTTTTTTTTTCCCGCCTCGACTACGTGTAACGCTTTTTCTTGCCTCTGACCTCTCATCTCAAAACTCGACACCCTCCCCCCCCCCCGCCCCCTCCTCCATTTACAGGTGTTTAACGGGAAAACGGTCCCGATCTTAACCAAACTGAACAAGCTCGTGGCTCAGTACGTGAAAAAGAACTACCTTGTTTAGGCCGTTTTGAACCCGTTTTGATCCCGTCAGGTTTTTCCTGCGCTCGGAACGCACAACGTTCAGGAGAAAAGGAGAACCCCGGACCCACCCCGCCCCTCCATCCCCCTTCTCGCACCACCGCGTCCCGGAGATTTGCCTTGTGGGTGGGGGGAGGCGATGGCTGGAAACACCGCGGAGAGAGTCTCCTCAGCTTAAGTGGATTAGACCCTTGTTTTGTTTTGTTTTTTTAATTGATGTTTGAGTTGTGTTGGTTGCAGCTCATCTGCATGTGTTTCCTTCCCGGTACACGAGTTTCCCGGGCCAGGGAACTCGGTGGGGAGCCCTGCAGAGAAAGCAAAGTCTCCAGGCAGTTGCGTTCTGGCGTTTGTGTTGGTATTCTAGTCACTAGGGGAACCACATCACAAACACAGATCGAAAATGTGTGCTGGAGGGAATAAATTTTGTCTTTTTCAAACCCTCTAAATACCTGGAACCAGACAGTTCAATCAGTAGATCGCCTCGGGCTTTTGTTCTTTTTGAGAGATTTAAGTAGGTTGGAAAACAAAGCGATTCGCAGTGCCTGGAAGATTGGATTTTGAATGTGATCTGGAGCATCATTTTAAAAGAGTAATTGAACCTGCTCCTTTCAAAGGCGTGTACTAGAACTATTGACGATCGTTGTAAGCAGCTTTAATGTTAAATAGTACTAGGGGGGAAAAAATTGCTCTTCATTCACCACTCCTTCACTTAATTTTATTTGCCCTTTTTTTAAAAAAAAAAAGTTTTCTTCTGGCCGGACTGGAAATACAAAACAGTGGGTGTAGTACAAGGGCGCTTGCCTTACATGTGGCCAACCAGGATTCATTCGTTGGCATCCTGTATAGTTCCCCGGGCAGCCACGAGTAATTCAAGAGTGCAGTGCCAGGATTATCTCTGAGCACAAGAAAACAAAAGAATATAATGTTTATGTCTGGCTCCTGGAAAATTAAGGGGGATTCTTTGGGACTATGGGGCTATAGAAATTGTCACTAAGTGAAAGAAGAAAGGAACTCGTAGGTAATTGTAACCCCCCTTAAAAAGTAGTATATGGAGCTTGAAAGATAGTATATATACAGATTGCAGCCCAGTTTAGACCTTAAATACAGATGTTTCTGCTAACTACTGCGACTACTGCAGTCGTTTTTCAAAGGTTTTATAGTTGTGTCCTTATCTTTTTGTGTCTAGAGATAAATGTAATAGCTCTTTAGAAGTTCAAAAGCTATTTTTAAAAAATGTTGGTGCATTTAAGTAGTTATTCTTTAAACTTTATGACTAAAACAAAGAAAATGTTGACTGGTCAGTATTCAGATTTAATTTGCTTTATATAGGGAATAACTGGGCACTTTTAACACCATTTTCTGGAAGAAGATTTTAAGATAGCTTTCTGGATACTGCAAAACAAAGCACATTTTAAAAATGGGACTAGGGAGCTAGTGATAGTACAAAGGGTTAACGTGCTTTCCTTGCATAGCACCAAAATCTTCCAGATGTGTGCCTCCCCACCCTGCAGCATCGCCAGGCAGGATCCCTGAGCACAGACCCAGGAGTAAATTTTGAGTACTCATAGCACTGCCCACTCAAAAATGGGACTGCTACTAATAGTTTTAAAGCATTTTATAATTTTACTGACCCCAAATCTTTGATATTTTCTGATCTTTGATATGTTTTTACTGCTTACAGTAATCTTGCAAGTGCTAGTAAATTCTTTTGCCATTTTAGAAGTTTTAAAAAGGCCCAGAAGACCATGCTGCTAGGAAATCTGAGGTGTGTCTGATTCCCATGCTCATTGCTATATGCACTGTGCTGTATATTTTGATTTACTTACAAGAGCACTCTATTAAACATCACAGAGTCCTTAATGGTTTTGCTTAAAACTTAAATTTTTCATTTGTGATTTGTGTCTTCCATTTTAAAGGACTGAAGTAAAAATGTTAGTAAAGAAAATATAACGTGAATTTTGTTATTAATATTAACAGTTACTGGACAAAAATTATTTGGTAGAGGCTAGGTTTACTTAAGGAAAAGAACTTGAAGTCTTATATGAGGTGACTGACAGCTCAGATCTGGGTAAAAGTAAGTATATAATTAAGTGCTTTGTGGTCAAATACGAAATTCTGAAAACAGCTGAGCATTTTTGTGAGTACGGGAAAGGAAAGGCTTTACCTGGCATGTAATACTAAATGATTGAATGGACACAATGGGGAGGAGACTGCAAAAATAGAGGTTTGGCCTATTAGGCAGTCAGATGTGGAGGGGGCAGATGTTAACTTTACATTTGTTAAGAATTTGGATTTAGGAACTGGAGAGGAAGTACTTCTGGTAAAGTGCCTGCCTTGCCAGACATAGGTGTGATAATTTGCATGCCCTCCACTCCCCCACATACGCACCACATGTAGTCACAAGTGTTGTCAATGTCCCTGCTGTGATTCCCCTGGCCCAGCTGGTTCAAAACAAAAATAAATTAAAAAGATAGACTGGATTTAACCCAATATGCAGTAAGATACTATCCAGGGTATCTAAGTGAGAATGGCACAATGAAAGGGGTTTTAGCAAATAACAGAGAAATTTATGCTTGAAGTAGTGTAGTACACAGTTGAAATAAAGACGTAACTTGGGAAAAATCTGATATAAATGAAACAATTCTGGGATGTAAAGAATAAACTGTTTTTGAAGGATGCAGAACAGTGCTATTAAAATAAACATGCATTAAAGCCATTTGCTTGAGACCTGTTAGGTCAAGTTAACAAATATTCCAAGTGGAAATAAATAACTTGGAGCTGGGAAAGAGGTTGGCATTTGAACTATGGCTGCTTGTCATCTTCATAAAAGGAATAAAAAGAATACAGCTTTGGCTACAGTTGAGTTTTTGATCTTAAGTAATTGTCTTTATAAATTGTCTTTATAGAAAAGGTTTTATCATTTTACTTATTCCCCATAATCTTTGGGGGGGGCGGGGAGGATAGCAAAATTTAGTGGGTGTTGAGTCTTTTTCCCCCTTCTTCCAATGCCCATGTGTTTTGTAAATTAATTTTCGTGTAGGGGTCTTTCATGTGGTTTGGCAATTATTTATGCTTTGAGATTTAGTTCAAGTAAAATAATGCTATTCATTCTTGCCTCATTTTTGGAGTTCTCGGGTTAATAGTAGGTATTTTTGAGACTCCTTAATGAACCCTTCACACAGCATATGAAGATGATTTCTATGATTAAAGGGAAGAAGGCATAACACATTCATCTATAGCTTTTTCTTCTGAAATCTGATTTGTATTAATAAGGGGGTGATAACTGCAAGTCAAAGCCCATCTTGGTGACAGATTCTGGACTTCAACTCTTTAGTTGGTGGAGTTTTTAAATTATAAATATGAGGGTACTAGTGAGTTTTGCACACTCTGCTTCTTCAGTGAAATAGAATCTAAAAGAGTGTTCAGTGGGTATGGCACTTGTATTGTACAGTCAGCCTGAGTGTGATCCTGTTCATAGAGCCAGGAGTAGGTCCTGAGCACCATTAGATACGCTCCCCCCAAACAATCCAAAAAACAATTCAATTTGAAGTTCTGTTACACAGATAAGAATATCAGCACTCCCTTGTTAGTAGAAAAATTCGGGGCCAGACGGATAGTATAGGAGCTAAAGCTTGCTTACAGCTGATCCTGGTTGGAATCCCCAGCACTGCCAGGAGTGATCTCTAAGCACAGAGCCAGGAATAAGTCTTGAGCACAACCGGGTATGTGCATGTGCACCCCTCTCCCCAATATAAAACAGTAAATAAATCCTTAGTACAACAAATTCAACAATTTTAATTTGAAAAAGAAAAAGTTAAGCGCAGATTCACAGCCCACTCATTCAGGCATGATTTGTAAACTTAATGAAACAGCTTAACACTTAGATTTTTATATTTGAAATTCTTTCACTTAAGGGTGGGTACAGATCTGTTCAACATAAGCAAAAGGCAGAATTTTTAAAAAGTGGAACTAATTGTACCCATGATTGATTTTACAAATTTGTCATAGATAATTCTTAAACTTTGTGCCATTCGTAAAA